GAAAGAAACTCCATGGCAACTGTAAATATTTAGCAACCTCTTTTATGCACTTCTTACACTTCATCATTGTTACAGGCCTAAATTTGAAATGGGAAGCTACAACTGTGGTACATCTTTTGTTCCCATAAATTGTCAAACTCCTACAGAATCTAAATCTGCGGTCACAGTTACGGGGTAACTCCTCAGCAATAACATTATGAATGCACATCTCCTCTGGAAGGTGTCCTGACTAGCTGCTCCATAATCTAGCATGGGACAGTCGAACAAGGAAGGTCTATTCGCAGCGCTCAGAAAGCTGTGAAGGGCCCAGACAGCTGCGTCCAGCTTTTAAAACCTCATAATCTTCACATCCAACTACCTCTTCTGCAAGTCGCATATGAACAGAGTCTTAAAATTTAACTTGGGCATCACCCTTCTAGTATGACATTTACACAGTTTATATGGGTCTAATTTAATCCTCTCACTACTGTGGTGTTCTCTGCCCTTTGAAGCCTCATTAATCTCCTTGTTTAGCTTCTTTAGCACCTTTTCACTGTCTCCCTTCCTTTTAGGTAATTTCACTTGTTAGAAATGAGCACACGCATGAGGGGTGTTTTAGCTTTTGTTTCTCTGACCGGGATGTCAGATCTGAGCTCTGTGATAGCCAGAACCACAGTGAACTTTTTATCTATAAGGTTTTATGGCATCTCGTATGCTACTCAGGACTAAATCAGAAATTGCACCTCTTCCTATGGGCTTCTTAACCTCGAAACAGTCAGTCTTCATTTCTAAGCACTTCAGTCTGCATATCACATCCTTCTGTGACATTGCCCTGTCCACGGGGTAGTTGAATTCTCCTCCTAGTGATGCAGCCTCTGCTCTTGCAGTCTGTCTGACCTTTCTCATCACACCACCATCAGTGTCTCCAAACTAGCTGGCTGGCTGGTTGCATAGGCCCATGTGGAGGCCATCTGTTTGTGGGATCCCACAGCTCTGCATTTTGAGTACGGTTCTGACCAGGGGCAGGGAAGGGGCCTTGAATGGGAAGCAGCTGGATTCTACCTGCCAGGTACCACAGTGGGCTGGGGGGTCCCCAGGGCCAGTGTCAGCAGGGGATCCTAGTGGTTGCAGGATAAGTCTTCACTGCCAGGGCCCCTCCTACCGTCTCATGAGGGAACAGAGCAGCCAGGGGCAGTTGGGGCAGCCCTAGCCCCAGGCATTGGGCACCACCATGGCAATGGGCCAAGGCCAGGCCAGGGGTTTGCCCATGGATTGGGGTCAGGTGGGGAATGGGGTGGGAGGGAGTTACAATGCAGCCAGGCAGGGGCAAGGTGCAGGTGTATGAGTTCACTCCTTTCCTCAAAAGAACCTAGCTGGAGGAAGAAGCACAGCGGTAACCGTGTCATTAAGCCTTTCTTGACAGTTATTTGACCAGTGAAGCCTTACTTTGTTGATGATGGTTTGGCCAAGCAGCAAAAACAAGTAATAGATGGTCTCACTGTCTGGTAACACCCTTTTAATTGAACTGCTGTTTTTGGCCACCTCAGCCCCTCCCATGTGATTTTGGTCAGTTGAGGTTTTAAATGAATATGTAAATGAATGTACATGTATACAAATGCATATTTTGACTTCAGGTACTAGGCTCAAGCCCATGGGGGTGAAAGACAGGACCACAGCGGGGGGTTTGGAGTTGCTGGGGCAGGTCAGTGAATGTATCTGAGCCTTGCTATTCACAAATAGGACACCCGTTCCTCTGGTTAGTTCCCTGCTGTAGAGAGAGAATAGGCTTGCAAAGGTATGGGACCTTGTTTGTGTAGATGGGGGCTGGCAAAGAGAGTCACTCCCTTCTGTAGAATAAACAAATCAGATCTGATTTTGAATTTGTCCAGCTAAAGCCAGAGTCATGGCTGAAATACAGTTCTGATGCAGTTTTCAGCTGCTGTCCATCCAGGCCTAAGCCCATTTCTACAGTCAGAGACACAGTTTTATCTGCTGTGTTAGGACCGGGATCTCCTTGTGGTGGCCAGGCCAGGCGTGCAGGAGGGTTAGATTCTGCTGCACATATTCCAGGGGGACTTTCTCATCGCAAACAAATGTTTCTAAAATGTCAAAAATCTATGTTGTATTGCCTTTTTTTTTCCCCCTTCACAGAATTAGTCGTCTTCCCATAGTTCAGGAGATGGTGGCTGAAGTAAAAACGCTGCTACTGTGTGTACTAGATATGGCCCAGCCATGGCCCTTGTGCTGCGCAGGGCACACCATACCGCTTTATGCCCCTGTGCTCTGACGGCACAGAAATGGCCCAGCCTACTCGGAGCTAGACACAGCATTTTATGACAAAAGTTCCTCATCTCTTTCACTTCTGGAACTGATTTGTTGCATAGTAAGTGCAGATTCATTCCCCTTCCTAACTTACAAAGTCTTCAGAAACTTTTAACTCCTGAAAATCAAAAGTGCTGAAAAACAGTATGCTGGGGACTTGAACTGTGCTCATTTCTGAAAAATGAGCCATATGAAGGGAAATTTTTCTCCTTGCGGTACTTGCCACTTCATCGTAGATATCCCTTCCTCTGTCTTTTCAGAAACTTTGTTGATATTTGAGGCTGCAGTGCTCAGAGCTTCACCAGGGAATGTAAATACTGCATGACTGCAGCTTTAAGTGGTAAAAGCATAGTTTAATAGGGAATCTGTGCTGTCGGCCTCCAGAATGGAAGCATGGACGCAGACTGCTTAAGTTTTACTGCGCCTTTAGATTGGTCAGCAAGAGTAGTTTGCTCATCTGACTCCTTTATAGTCCTACTCCTGTCTGTTCTTGCTCAGTCATCATTCGCCCTTATTTCCTAGACTTTCTTGCACAAAGGCTTTAAGGTACTCTATGATGCACCAACTATGGTAATCAAGAATGCAAGACGTTAGATTGCATTACATTCAATTATATGATTAGTGGCTAATACATATTTTCCTTTTCATGATTAACCAGCAAATTAACAGTTATGTTTCCTTGTCAGGCAGCGGCAAATTTATGTTTCTCTAGTTGTCCCACAAATAAAAAATCTTCCCAGGTTGCATTAAACTGTGATTACCATGATCTACACTGCCCTTTATAAAGGCCCTCTTCATTCTCCAGAGCCTGCAGAAAGTCTTGTCTTTATGAATGCATCTCAGCTCATTAAAATTCACCCAAACTGCTGCATACAAGGACAGTTTCTCATTTCAGGGCTATATTTTTCCACATCATTAACCAGATGCTTTAGACTGTTTACTACTTCCTGCGAATGAAATCAGTTGATTTATTCCTATATAAAAGGTGGTCTTATTTACTATGTGAATAAATATGCCTCTTCAGGAATGTGTGTTTTTCTGTCCTGTTCCTCCAGGCATGGTGCATATAAAATTCTCTTTGGAATATCTGAGAACACGGCAAGGTTGGTGGAGGATGGGTTTTAAAAAAAAATGCAGAAAAACGCCTATAAAAAGAGGGCCCGCATCCTGCCCTTCTGCATACGTAATTAATGTTGTAATCAACTGCCTCTCTGGAGGTGTCTGTGAGGGCAGAATCCTGCCCTGTAGGTGATCAGTGGTTCCAGATCTGCAACACTCTTTGTTGTCCTGTGCTACAAAGCAATGAGTCTTCCACAGTCACCAGTAGTAGCTGTTTTTTCAAAATCATGTTCCCAATTTGTTTCAGGGAAAATTCTAAATAAAAGAAAATTCTCAACATGACCATTTCAGTGAACAGCTTAGAAATATTGCCCTGGGGAAATACTCTCTCATAAGAAGCGCTGTCTCTGGTGATACCATCACTGAAAGAAGAATATCCTCTTTCTCTTGAACATTATACTAATGCTGGTGAGTTTGGTGACAGTTAGGAACACACACGGAGAAATCTTATTGCAGAGTGGAAGAATGTGGTGCTGCTAGGACCTTGAGTGTTTGAATAAAATGCATTACCATAAGCTTCCTACACATCTTCCTGCATATTACTAGAGCTTTCTCTCTTCTTGGGCCCTCCAAGAGATAAAAGTAATGACAATTCTTTCTTCCATCTTGTTTAACTTCAAGGAGCTATTCTCTGCAGCATTTATAGTATTGTGTGTCTGAGGCATCTGGTACAACATGGCCTTTCCCGTAGAGAATATTCCTGCTTCTATTCTATTATCATACAAAACAATGCTACTAATAAAGACCTATCCTAAAAAAAAAAAAAACAGGACTCATAAAAGGAATACATGACACTTTCCATTACACTTCCAATTTGTAAGATGACATTTACCTAGGTTTACATCTAAATAAATAAATAAAGCCAAAGCTGCTGCTAGCATAAAGTTTTTGTATAGCACAGAATAACACAAAGGCAGATCCCATATACATCACTGGAGGGAAAGTGGTACAGTTCTCAGTTCATATGTATATGAATATATTTGTATATTCATCTGTAAATAAGTATGTCTTGCTTGGCTGCAACTGTTGCTGTAGGAAAGGGAATTATCAAGGGCAGATCTTCACTGTGCAAAGGATTTGCCACAGCTGCAGAATGTAGATAAGCAAAAAGTGTCTCTTAAGCACCTTTCTGTCGACCAGGACCCAGCTGGCTATGAATCAAAAAATACAGGGCAGGGCTACTCTGTTTTTACTGGCAGTTACTGAAAACTGTCACAGATAGTTCTCCTCAGACAGCAGAGTACCAACCTCATCTTTTCAAGGCCAGCCAGGTGCTGTTCTGCGCCGCATGGCTGGGCTGGAAAACTGTAAGAGATACAGGAGCATATGTGGGACTTAAGGAAACAGAACGTTCTGGAAACTCAGCAAGGTTTAGGCAAAATTTACTCCTAGTGTCAATCCCAATCAAAATCTGCCTTTCAAGGAGCATTCAACTCATGGTTCTAGGCTAAAGTGTCTGCAGTGAATTACTCTGAAATACAAGCTGGCTGTCAAAGGATTAAGAATGCATTGAAGAAAAAAAATGCTATTCCTGATTTTTATCCAAGTGTTTCTCACAATGCTACAAAATAGCCCTGATTTTAAGGTGAGCAGAGCTTGCCAGAGAAAAGAATAGTATTGGTGGGATTGTGCCTAATAAAGAATAAGAAAGGGTGGTCGGCCATAAACACCTCTGTGAGAGGAAGAGATCTCCTTACAATGACAGCTCCTGTAGCACCTGCTGCTATGGTGCCTTCCTCACTGACTTCCACATAGGTCTTGTGGAAAACTTTTGACAGAAAGAGAGTTTTTGAAAATGACATTGCAGAGAGATCAGCTTTTGATTCAAGGAAAACATCAGTCATCCCCATCTCTTGTAAGAATAATCTGAGGTCAAAGCTGCCTTCAAGCTTGAATCGAGGTAGGTACACATCCACTGCTTCCTCAGACATGCATTCAGAAGAGGTCCACAGCACTAACTTTTCATAGGTCATTGCCCTTTCAATCTAAAAGATGAAAAAAGAGCTTAAAATAGGTGGAGAGCTTTGAAAAGTTACAATCTTTATCCAGCTCTAATTGATTGGTTGTCTAACCAGCTTTCACGTTAGTTAAACCATTGTCCAAGATATACCGCCTTACCTGTTCCAGCCCACTGGTAGATCCACCAGCCATGTCATCTGGCAGCAGGAGAATCATACTCAGTGACTTCTGAGCATAAGGGAGTTCAAGGATCTGAGCACCAATCTCTTCAATGTAGCCAAATTTAAACTTGCCTTTCTGATACATCATCTGTACAGGTTTGCTCTCATTCTGTTTAAAAGAAAGCGACATATTCAGCTAAGCAATACAGCTCTTATATTTAAACTTCAGATATAATGCTGGCAGTCAGGGTTTGCAGTGGTTATTATTGTTAGACTTAACTTTTTTTTTATTTTGTTGTTTTTATTTATTTTGTTATCTGTAGTGACACAAAACATCAGCTTTGCCATGCAGAAATAAAGGGGATAATACTTTATCTGCCTAAGCAGCCACACACCTCTTCCCCCAGCCACGCAAACTGAAGTATGCAACACCTCAAATCAAGCAAAGGATGAAGATTATGACCTCTTAGCTTCTCCTCTCCCCCTCTTCTACTCTAGTCAATAAATTCTCCATTGACATGCAAAGGTATAAGCAGCAATAACCAGAAAATCAGTTTAAAATGGTGTAAGGGATCACCTACATTTATTGTAATACAAAGCCAGTGTGAAGCATTCAAAGTAAACATAATAACAAGAAAATTAAAGCTATTTGGTCTAGCTCCTGTTGCCTTTCTTTTTCAAGCGATCTCCATCACTGAAGCTACTGGATATGAACACTACCACTGAAAAGGAGATGAGTCTGGGACGTTGCACAGGCCAGCCTATATTAAGGATGAAGCAAAATGTTCACGCTATTCAGGAGAATGTAAACTTTTGGTAAAAGGGGAAGCAGGGCTATTTCTTTTTCAGTTCCATCAGTTTTATGGAGAGCTGTTACAGGTGTTCTGCAATAGCTCATTTGGAAACAGAGCTTCTGACTTATTTAAGTGCTGCTTTCCTGTTTTCTCACACCTTTCACTGAGTCCATGGCCTGTCTTCAGATTAGGTCATGAGCTCCTCAGCCTCCTATGTTTGGCAGTAAGCATGTTTTAAAAGTCAGCTGTCATATATTTCTCTTTAAGCTTCCTCTTTCTTCACAGAAGAGAAAGTATTGTTGCCATTGGTGAGTGCCTCTTCTTACAAGATCCCAGCCTATAACAATAATTACTCAACAGATGGCATTTCAACATACCATCTTACTGTAGTTTCAAGAAAGTATGTGAAGTATATTCCCTCTCAGTTTTTCTTCTTGCTATCATATATCAGACAGACTGTTATGACTAGAAGCAATATACAGGTAAAGAGTATAATCGTAGTCAGGTTTTTTTAGGTATGCTCTTCTCATTCTTCTTACCCTGTCTTTTTTTGTGATGAGGTTGTTTAAAGGCTGTTTAAAGGCTCCAGTTTCATTACAGACTTAATTGACTTCTAAATCCATGAAAGAAGAACTTTTGTAGACGACACATTTTCAGAGAAATTCCTCCTAGTACTGGTTAGCACCTGAAGAAAAATACATGCAGCTTCTCTCTGTCTCCTAGTTTCTCCAACTGCAGCAGTGCATTGAATGTTCTCAGCTATAGAGCATTTTCAACTTCCATATTATGACAAAGATATATTAAAAGCCATAAATATAATTAACAAACGTGACCATTTCTTACTAGTCAATTTAACAACAATTTAACTTTCGTGGCCTTTTTCTTCCTTTGATAAATGAAGAACACCTTTTCCCTTAAGATCAGACCTAAATTTGTATCTTTTTTTCTTTTGCTATGGAAGAGAGCTAATAAAATATTGGCACAACATATAGAAAGAAGACAAAACTGAATGAAATGAAAGCAAATGTTCTTGACTCCCTTTTTTGATAACATCTGTTAGACTTAAATGACACACAGAACACTTGGGAGAATGTGCTTGTTAAAGATTTAACTTTGTAACCACATTGACAACACCTTAGTGAAACAATGAAGGTGATAGCCTTATGGCAGCAAAAAAGGGCTAAAAATTAAATATATTTAAAACAAACTTTCAATCTTTCATATACTGTAAATAAACCAAAATGTCCTGAGGCTATACTCCAACACCAATACGTTTTCAGTCATCAACGCAAAATTCTGAGTGGTTGCAACTTACGAGTCCTGTGCATTTTTTCAGTAAAGACTACGCTTTTCTGTGAAAACCTTCTATCTTTATCCAGTAGGAGAGACAGGTTAACTTCCCAGTGCACCCACGTCTTGTTCACAGGGCAGGTGAAATCCCTGGACGTTGTGCCTCTGTGTTATGCTTGCTGCAATGCTCACAGTATGTACAATAAATAATGTTAAGATTTATAGAATGGAGATGTACCTGATTCAGTCTAAAATCTCTCTCTACTGTATTTTTTTCCTCAAACTTGTGTTCCCAAGATGCTTTGAAGTAGATTACATTCACCAGCACTAGCACTGCACGTGAATCGATCACACCAGGAGCAAAGAGTTCCTTGATTTTACCTGAAGGAAAATTTCAGAAAACACAAGTATATGTAAGCTGTTCTTAAGATTCAGGATTGAATCTCAATTACCTGTCTTTAAGCCTAGTTGGGGGAAACTTAGAAATCCAATTCTTTGTTTACTCAAAGGACAGGGACAACATAGGCAACCAAATGGCAAATTCCTCTACCCTGCTACCAGTCTGGCAACAGCCTGTTTTAGATGTGAAGGTGGCATTGCTGAACTAGCCAGCTCTGGCTATCAGTGATGATACATACGTGCTGAGTTACATTCACCACTGGGGATGGAGCCAGCACGGTTAATCACATCCTTCTGTTTACATGAGGGCAGCTTTCAGTTCACACTGAGCACAGTGGTTAACAGGCTGTGAAGGTTTTGACTTTTATCACAGAGACTGAAGCAGGAGTTAACAGGTCCACAGGCCTTGTGCAGGTGCTCAGAGCAACAATAGCTCCTAGCACTGTGAGAGATAGCTCTTGAATCCTGAGCCCTCTTGCTGGGAGCCAGCTGGGTCTAGCAGCTCTTTCCCACACCAGTCACAGGCTGCTCTGTTAGCACAAGCATAAATTTGGTCAGGAGATTAAAGTCTTTAAAGTATACAAGAATGAATGCTCAGAAAGGGGAACAAATGGTTGCTTTTTACATCCTGGAATTTTTTTTGTTGAAGCAGTGGGAGAAGGCAAAGATAGTCTGGCTATGGTTTTCTTTTGTTTTGTTTTACCTTGTGTCTCACTTCCAACCCAAGAGTTAATTTTTTCTCTGGCTGTTTCAACAGCATTTTGAAAGTCAGCTATTTGCAGCATTGCTCCATATAGTTCCTTAGCGCACATTAAATATTGCTGAAAATTAAAGTAAAGATTATGAATTAGTCTGTTCTGCAAAACAGTTATTCCCTTTCAGAGAAATCAGTCACTCAGAACTATTTTGGAAATGATGAGGGTCTTATTGGCTGCTTAAGGTAGAATTTGGCATTGGAAATATCAGCTATCAGAAGTTTGTTCAGAGTCTTTGAAGAAGAGCTAATTACTCTATTGCATAAGGAAAAAAGTAAATAAAAAGAAAGCTACGAGAAAGTCTTTCCATGGAGAGCGGCATACTTGAGGCGCAGATAAAAATAAAAAAATAGAGAAGATGCAAGATGTGTTGTTAAGTACCCAAATCATTCAACAGAAATAACTGACAGCAAAGTGAAGGTGTGACTGGGAAGATATACATGCTAGGTAGTTTAGAGACAGTTCTGGTATTCAATAAGAAAGGAGTAAGAAGTTCAGCTCCGAAGTCCTACACAGGAAACCATGTAATAGCTCATATGCTAAGCACGCTCTAAGCGTCCTACTGCCCCAGCCATACCATTTGCAAGCCCATAAGTAGCTTACAGGCAGCTTGAGTAGGTCAGTTTTGGTTGCAGTCGCACCTCTTGCTGAGTGTAGGCATATGCCAAAAGAGGAAAGTCTCCTGCTCTGTCTTTGCTCTATAACCATTGCTATCCACAGTGGTTTGTTTTTAAACAAATGAATTGAAAGCTGACAGCCCTGTCAGGGAGACAGAGCTACAGGAAGAATCCCGAATGCTCCAAAACATACATAAGGGGGCAACAGCGAGGCTTGCAGTTACAAGGGAGCTGGAGGTCACAGCCACAGCAGTTACCAGATATGACTGACTTACCCGCCGGAATTCAAATTGCTGTTGCACAAACAGACTGTTGGCCAAGCTTAAAATATATCTTTTGTCAAGGTTTTGTAGTTGTAGAAGCAGCTCATGGAACGCTTCATGGTGAGCTCCCCCATCCATGCAGCACTATGAATGTTACAAGCACAAAAATTATAAAGTTTCCTCCATATAGCTTTGATTGTTGGTTTGCATCCTAGTTCAATTACATTTACTGATTTTTATATCCAGCTAGTCTAAGCTTCGTAGCCTGATCCTCCTTCAGGCAAGGGCCAAGTCCCCCCCAAAGTTGCCACCAAAGCTTCTCATGCTTTTTACCAGGCATTTCCCAATGGATTACAGATGGACTCTGCGTGTGTGAGCATGACTCCCTCCAGTGGCAGGCTCCAGTGGTGTACAACTCTGGTTACCGATCTTGCAGGAGAGAAAAGGTTCCTCTACCACTCATTACAAGGACATACCAATGAGAAGGAAGGCTGTCTTGCCTGGCTTTGTTCCAGCTCAGTTTCTGAGGCTGTGCTCTCAGCAGCAGATCCAAGGCTCGTTCTTTCTGTAGCTTTTCTCAAGTGAAGCACCTGCAGTTGAAGATGTCAGAGTATAGCGACTGTAAATGGGATAAAAGACTTTTTCTTATTTAAAAAATTTGATACACTGTCCTGGAAAAATAGCCAAGATCTTTAAAAGACATTTTCTCAGCTTCAGTCAGACTAAAAAGTCAAACTTGAAAATATTCATATATTCATGCCCAAGTATACATTTATACGTTAGGGAAACAAGAATTTAGGTTTAATCTGCCAAAACACTACTCTCCACTAACTCAAGATGCTTACATTTGATTTGTATTTTTATTGCTATTTGATTTGTATTTTTATTGCTACAGTTCATTTAAATTTCAAAATGAAAAGTTGCCTCAGGCAAAGAGAAATAAATGTTTTGCTTTGAAAACATGAAAGTTGGCCTTCGGCAATAATTCTTAATCTTTGATTCAGATCAGTAAATGGATCAAAACCACAGCGCTTTTAATGAAAATCAGTCCTTGTTTCTAATGTGCAAAAGCTGTGCTGAATAATTTCCAACAGCTTCTCCATAACAATAACTTTGCAGCACACAGAGTATTAATCTCTTCGTTGGCAAGACTGGATGCCCATCACTTTCCTAAACTACACAAGAGTGTCTGGGAATCTCCTAAGGAAGTCGAGGCTGAGAGTAACCCAGTAGTCAGACTGTGCATGTGGCAATGTTACGATATCATGGATGAAGAGCTACCAGCACTTAGCCAGACTCACTGTGAGTGAATCTTATATTTTTTATTTCCCTAATAGAAAAATTGTTTCTTATCTTTTTTTTCTGGAGAGCTCTAGGACAACATATAGTGCAGAAATTTAAAAAGGTTACGGACAGGAAGAATAAGGCTGAGAGGACAGAGTATGGGACTGCAATGACCATTTCATGTGTGAACACTCTCGATCTGCAATGACTGCGAAGGTTTCCCAGCTACTGACAAGAACCTATACCTTAGGATTATTGGTCTTTCACCATTCATGAGAACATTAAAAAAATCATAGAAAGAAGAACTTGGACTAGTGTGCAACACAGGCCTTCTTTTCAGAGAGGTGGCTTTCTGCACCCCTCCCTGTCCCTGGGGTCTCCAGGAGCTCCGCTTGAGGCATTTTGACACCGGAATGTCATAAGGTGATAAATGAGCTAACACTTCCTGCTATCCAGATGCAAGGATTTCAGGTTTCTGCAACTCTACCCACTACCTACCCATACTTACAGGATTCTCATACCAATCATAAGAGAAAAACCTAATTTTCATTTTGAAATAAAATCTGACAGTTTGGTAGCAAGCTGGGGGAATGCCAGAATGCCCTGCGTATCACCTGCCATCACTCAGCTCTTGCTTCACATTCTTGTGTCTGAATGGAGGCATGAGGCAACTCATGCAAGCAGATGGCAAGGATCATAATGCAGCAAGATAAGCTTTAAAGGCAGCACCTGTTTATGTATTCACGCCTGTTTCCTACGACACTCTTGCACGCATGTTGTGCTGTGTTGCTCATCACTTGCCTTTAAGGGAACAGCAAGCTATATGGAGACTTTTCCACATGTTTCATTGATACTTACTTTTTCTATCTGAGCAGCACTGTTGTGCCTTGCACCCAACTGGATGAGAGCCAGGGCAATAGAGATGCTCGTCGGAGAGAAGACGATATTCGTGCCTTCTGTGTTTTTGTTGCACTCTTTATAAAGGTCAAGGCAAAACTCAGTAATTGGTCTAGAAATGGAGGCCATTGTAAAGCTGGCAGCTGGCTGGGAGCAAAAGAGAAAGAATAAGAGATGTAATGCAGCTCTTTGCCTAGCGAAGTCACACTCAGATTGTCCCACAATTGGTTGCTAAATTACATAAATTTGATAAATTCTGAGAGTTTAAAGAAGCCAGCCTTGTGCACATATCCGTAGTGCCATGCTCCATGGCGGGAGCAAGGATGCAGTGGGGTGTGGAAAAGGGATCCACACTCACACCATATGTTGACTTCCTCAGAAAGGACTATTCTTTTGTCTTACCCTATAGTGTTTCTTAGTTCTTCTGTATGACAGCAGTCATGGTATTGAAATCGGACAACTGTGGATTAACATTTTCCTTCTCCAGACTGCATCAGGACATGGTGGTTTGACATTTACAATTATAACAAATCTCTCCTCTTACAACAATGTATAATTAGTCACAGGATAACAGAAACTATGCAGGCATATAACCATGTCTGGTAACCAGAGCTCTGGTTTGAGGGATTCAAACGATGGATTTATAAATTAAAATCACATTCAATTAAATGTTTTTATATATGAAAAAGGGTCCTTAACAGCTGTGGAAACGGTACTACAAATAGAAACACGAGCAGTTTGCAATATCCTTTTTCTCTCCCCCTGAGTCTTCCAGGAGCCACAGATTCAGGCAAGATAAACAACTCTATTTCCTAGCAAAGCAGTATCTCAATAGCCCTGGAAAGAAGGCTATAGGTTCCTATTTGGTGATATGACAGCAAGATCTGTGTTACTGTTTTTTTACCATACTAGACATATCGCAGTTTGATACCTTTTCCATGGGTCATTTAAGTTAAATCCACTCTGTTAAAGACTGGTGTGAGACCAAGTTCCAGTTTAGTTCCTGCAAGTAGGAAGCCATCTAAAGGAAAGTTTTTAGAAAGTCCTTACCTGTCCTTTAGGGGAGGGATTACAAAGCTGTTATGTGGATACCACTGGGAGCACATGAGCTTTTCGGAGTTGTTATACCAGGAAAAAAAAAAAAAATCACTTTCTTTGTCAAAAAAATGGTATCTTGAACAGCACTCCAAAAAAATGCCAGAGAAGCAAAGCGCACACTTTTGCCTGCTTGCTGACATTGAGAAAAACAGCTCTGGCCTGCGTGCTGAAATGATAATTTATTTAGGGGTAAATACATAGCCACAGCATGGAGAGAAAGCCCCTATGTCTCCCGCAGCACAGATCTGGCTGGATCTCGCTTTCAGCCCTCATGATGATAAGCTTCAGCCAGTTCCACAGCAGACTCCAAGAGCTGCTGTCAGCTGAAAGGATGAGTGAGCGCACAGCCAGGTCCCCATTCACACCGACCGCAGAAAGCTGTGGCACAACGGGCAACCTTTCTCAGCCCCTGTGCAGCCCTGTAGCTACAGCCCACCAGGCAATGTTATGTGAGGAGTCTGTGTCACCAGAAGGCAATGAGTGGGGAGAGGCTGGTGGGATCCAGTGGATCAAAGCCATATCCCAGGACTTTACATCAGCACAGCCCTTGTATGGCTGGCCGGTGTCCAGCAGCCCTTTTGAGGGGTTTAGAGCCAGTGAGGAGCTGATGGCCTTCCTGGGAAGGAGGCTGCCTGGCGTTGGGGACCCCCATCCCCTCCCAGCCAACGTTTCCTGCTGCCCCTACTCTTGCGCTGAGGCCCTGGATCTTCTACCACAGTCATGGAGCCCTCCCCTCACAGAGAGCCTGCCCTTCACAGTGTTAGAAAAGGGAGCTAATTTAGCTCTAGCCCAGCTTAGCACTAGTGCCTAAAGTAGATGAAGCCTGCAGGCCGCAGGACTGAATTGTAAATGAGCTTGAGAGACATTGCTGAGGATGTGACTGCAAAACCAGCTAGAACCAGCCCTCAAAGATACAGCACACAATAGACAGTGGTAACGGTTAACCTTCGGATAAGATAAAGCACTATGAAGCAAGAACATAGCAACCGTCCCGGGACGTAGACGTGAACCAATCAAAAGGAAAGAGATCATCGACTCAGTAAAGAAGATTGAAAGAGACTGTCGCTAGCAGGCAGGGAAATTTGACTATAAAGAGTATAATTACTGCAAAATTTCTTTGTTTGGGGTCCCTCCCTGGAGGCACCCAGCTCGAGCTCTTACTTTGCTGTACTGTCATTTGAATAATAATAACAACCTAGGGTCAAATTATTTCCATAACACACAGATTTTTCTTTACTCCAAGAGCTACTCACAATGGCCTATGTTTTCCTCAAAGATGCAGAGCACACGCTGCCTCTCGCTCAGCCATGAGCCAGACGTGAACTTTGTGTTTGCAACTGAGAGCAGGCACCAGGAGACATTACTGTGGCATAGCCAGTTGCTGTGGCTCAGCTGAGATACAGCAATTGTCTGTGCGAACCATCTTAGCCTGCAGCAAGTGTCTGATAATTAATGGAAATGAACTCAGCACATAAGAAAGGAGACTTAGGCTAAGTCAGATTACCCCAACGGCTTAGAAGAGATGAAGAGTCAAGTTGGCGAATTATAAAGTGCCACATGTGGTGAATGCAGATGTTTCCTGTCATTTGACTGGCTTGAAGGGCACAGCAATAATTGCTGCTTGATCATCTTTCTAGCTGGTGATCTGTGGAAAGAACTTGTGATGCTGAAAGAAAAAGTTGGCATTTGTTTCATACTGAAGCATTTGTTTTACCCTGAAGTTCAGAAATACTTCATAGGAAGACCTAACATAAATGAGCAAAACAAAGGAGAAATACTCAAAAGGTACTTTGAACAAGTGAATTAAAGATGAGTTATGTCTCATTAAATCTGAAAACAGCTGTTCTAGAATAATAGCTCTGTTGCTCATGTCCCTGTATGAAACACTATTTTCATTTTCCTTTTATTAATGCAATCATATTACCACAATAAAAAGACATTGCATTAAATAATCATTTTTCTTTTCTTCCACCTTCATTAAGATTTACAATTTTCCATAATCTTCTGAAAACAAAACTCAGCACCACTTTAGTGCTGAAGTTTCTATTGCTCCACTTTCACAGCTTTTGAAAAATCTAAAAGGGATCTACGAAGATTGCTTACTGTGAATGTAGGTCATGAGGCATATTGTAGGTGTGTCCAGATCTCAGAATGAGTCAAGGAGAAAAAAAGAGTTAAGAAACTTCCTCAGCAAGGAGCAGGCACCTCCACCTCACCCTGCAGGGATAGACCTGACTGCCAGGGATTGAGGGAGTGCCTAGGACCTGAAACAGGTTTTAAAAGGGAGTGTCTGGAGCACAGAGGTGCCATGCCTTTAGAAAAAGTAGCAGACTGTCCCGAGTGACATCCAGGTGCAAACGTTGCAGCTGCAGCATTGCAGCCGACTCTACGCCTTTGTGAGTGTGAGTGTGAGTGTGAACTAGTTAGAGGGCTGCCTTAGAAATCCAAAGCTACAGTGGAAGGAAGGGAGGTGTGTGCTGGAGGAGGAACCTTCTTACTGGAGAGAGAAAGAATTAGTAAACTTTCTTAATCTAACTTTGGAGGCCACAAATTTATAAACAATTCTGTATCATAAAGGTGTGTGCATAGTCTGTGTAAGCATTCATCAGGGAGAATTTTGCTGTTCCTTTGCAGGCAGTGGAGTTTGGAGAACACCTAGATGCTAGAGAACAAATTGAAATATTAGTTTTAAAAGATCTTGGAGTGGAAACAACAGCAAATAAGATCAAAAGAAGTGTTTATGAAATGTCATAGGGGCCATTCTGCACGAGCCAAAATATTTGCATAGAACATTAGCAATAGTGCTGAGCCAGTAAGAAGGGCTATGGCATTATAGCTGTTGAAGTGAGATGCATCATAGTTCCATAGCTTTTAACGCAGTCTGGTGGGTGGAAATTGCTGGTGCTGGTATATGTGCAAAGAGGAAGAATGTACCCAGGAAAAGAGCTTCCTTCAGAAGAAACCACATACCAGAAACCTTGTAAAGGTGGCAAACTTATTCCATGGCTCAGTGAAACAGGGAACATTCCTCTTCTATAACTCCTCAAGTTCAGTTGTCTCTTTGCAGTTTGTTTTAGGCTAGAGGTAGATGAAATTAAGGCAAAAACTGTGCTCAAAGCTATCATAAACAATAGGAGTAATAGATTATATTAGACAGTCAACAGAAGGAGGTAGTAAATAATATGCAGATCCTAGGAGAGCTGTAGCCTTGTTTTTGAATGTGATTTTGTATTTAATAAAAGGTAACACAAGAAGAAACCTGTTTTCTCTGGTGCCTCATGATAATTCACATCATTGCATAAGTTTTATGTATTCAGTCTGCCTCCTATCAAGGTGCTTGAATACACCCTTATTCTCATAAGCAAAGGAAGAGGGAACTGACGACGACATATGCTATCCTAGAAAATGAGCACGTGAAAATACAGTTTCCTCACATGAAAAATCTATGATGGATTGAAGTGACTTTTTTATTTTTCATGGCTATTCATACAAAAAGACATTTTCAAATGTGTCTATGCTCATTTAGAATAAAAAGGGAAAATGGCACAAAGGCAAAACATAATTTCCCACAACACAGAAGTTCTCATCATTTCCATGTGATATAAAACATTTCCAAAGTAACATATTTTAAATTAAAATTAAAATAAGTTAAAAAGTAATATATTTTGGTACAAAATAATTTGTCAAGGGAAATGTTTTCAAATTTATTTTCCAAAAACCTTAGCCTCTCAGGATGCCACTTTTACGACGGAAAGGGCTTTTCTGGCTGCTTTTTACTTTCTGCAACAATGCCTTCATGATGTATCTTTTCCACTTCTTTCTTGGACAGTTATTCCTGCATAAATAGCCAGGGTTGCACGTTGGCCTGTTCTGGGCTGTACAGTGGCAAGTTACTTGTTATGCCTCTGTGTAGTTGTATAGGCTTCTTAGCAGGCTTTAAGCATTGCTGTCAAATCCAAGAGCTGACATGTTGATAGCAAAGACTAGCTTCCCCTTTAGCACAACAAAATCTGAAGTATGCTCCACCTTCT